ACAGCCGTGAGGCAACAGAAAGAGACATACTACCAATTCAAGTTTCGAGCTGCGTCTGGCAATACCAAACAGACATGGCACACGATCAAAGAATTGAGTGGTAAACATCGACAATCTCAGCCACCTCAATGTTCTGTTGATGCCATCCGAAACACCTTTGCAGAGATAGTAGAGGACGCCAGCCGCCCAGTGCATCTCTCATTTCCCTACGGGCCCGCCTCAAGCACTGATCTGACAGCCTTTGCGCCAGTGTCTATTGCCAGAGTGAGGAAGCTCCTCGAACGTTTAAATCCGGCCAAGTCCAGCGGTGATGATGACATTTCTGCAGCCCTTCTCCGCACACATGCAGACGTACTGGCGCCATCTCTGACTTTGATCTTTAACAAGTCCCTGAGAGAGGGCATATATCCTGCCCAGATGAAAAGTGCTAGGATATCGCCACTCTTCAAAGGCGGAGATCCGAGCATGCCAAAGAATCATCGACCAGTGTCCTTGTTATCGATTGCATCCAAAGTGTTGGAAAGGATAGTCCACGAGCAACTCACACGATATCTAGTCCAGAGCAATTTATTCCCGCCAACTCAATTCGGCTACAGATCCCACCACTCTACATCCGACGCACTAGTGCTAGCTGTGGAAGGTATCTGTGAGGCCCGTATGAACAGACTCAACACAGGTGTAGCCTTTGTTGATATGTCAAAGGCATTCGATAAAGTGAAATATCAAACTCTTGTGCAAGATCTGTTCGAACTTGGCATCTGCGACACGGCACTCTGTTGGCTGGTGGATTACCTCTCTGATAGAGAACAGTACGTTCAGGTTGGCCAGACTAGAAGTCCCCCGTACACCAGTTACTCAGGTGTCCCCCAGGGGTCGGTACTGGGCCCACTGCTATTTATTGTCTATGCCCGCGGCATAGCAGAAGAACTATCGCCGTTTAATGTGGGAGCAATCCAGTTAGCTGATGACATCTCTATACGATGTAGCAGGAAGTCTGCGGAAGCTGTTTCTGCACACCTTTCAGCTGCTGTTCAGCACCTGGCCACCTGGCTGAAGGGCCGTGGTTTAATTCTTAATGAAAGAAAGACACAGATATTGCCTATTCCCCCATCCCCATCTCAAGCACTTGAGCTGCATGTCATTTGTAATGGGCAGACGCTGCCTGTTGTGAAAACGGCCAAGTATCTTGGCCTACATTTCGACTCAGACATGAGCTGGAACACCATGACAAGCCATGTTGCACGCCGCGTTGCCGCTAAGATTGGGCTACTAAATCGAAGTGCAGCATGTTTGCCTTTTTCTTGCCGTGTTCAGTTTTCAGGTCCTTTATACTATCAGAATTTGACTATGCATCTGCTGCCTATGCCCCTTTCTTATCGTCTTATCAGGATAAGCGCCTAAATAGTTTGTTCAAACGTGCGGCTCGCTCCGTGTGCAGGGCAGCCCCTCGCACTCACGCGGCTCCCTTACTTGAACGCATGAATGCCCATACCCTCAGCATATACACCCACATGCACATCCTTGTATTCATTTGGCGCTGCCTGAACAAATCTTCAAGTACTCTGTTTGCAAGCTTTTTCACCCATAGTCCCTCTCTCCGAACACGCGGAGGGAACAGCAAGTTACTCATCATTCCTGTCTCCCCCACTGCATCCTCAGCTAAGCGCATTAGCCATGCTGGAGCTATCCTGTGGAACCAGCTCCCAGACACAGCACGCCTCGAAAGAAAGCGCTCCACTTTCAAATCGCTAAGCCTGGCCTTTCTGTTAGGCAGTACCGTCAACTAGGATGAACTCATCTGCTTCACTACCTCTCTCTCTCTCTCTCTCTCTCTCTCTCTCTCTCTCTCTCTCTCTCTCTCTCTCTCTCTCTCTCTCTCTCTCTCTCTCTCTCTCTCTCTCTCTCTCTCTCTCTCTCTCTCTCTCTCTCTCTCTCTCTCTCTCTCTCTCTCTCTCTCTCTCTCTCTCTCTCTCTCACTCTCTCTCTCTCTCTCTCTCTCTCTCTCTCTCTCTCTCTCTCTCTCTCACTCACTCCTTTCTTCCCGGTTGCCGTGCTTGTGACTTTTTCCCCTGCTGCCGTGCTCATATTAGTTATCTAACTACAGCTGTATCTTCTTCTTGGTTCTGTTATATTTTCTTTTCTCTTATTATCAGTGGGACCATTGTCATTAGGTTTAGGCCTGTTTTGGAACTCCACTTTAAATAAAGCCAAACAACAACAACATATGAAATACCCATAACTTTCATATATTTTAAGGGGGCAGCCTACCCATAACTTTCATATGGCATTCAATTGACCGTAACTTTGGTGTTTCTCAATGGATTTGAGTGAAATTTTGACCACACACTCCTGCCACTATGCTGGCCCTCAGGACATGATTTACAAGTTCTTGCGCCTCACTGACAGGCTTTCCAGGCCAGAAACTCAAATTTCCGGCATAGTCCCACGGTGTGCGAGCCACCCAGGAGCCAAACAAATGCATTTCCATTTTTCACATTTTTGTGCTCATTCTGTTCGTGCGCGGGCCTCAAACCTAGAACAAGTCCAGAAGCAGCCATGGGTGATGGGGTAGGGCCCCTCAACGAGGCCCTGGAATCTGTCACAACGGAATGAGTGGGCGTTCTTTCACACACTCCCACAGACCCAAGTCAATTTTTGAATTTTTTTAGGTTAAGCACGTGCTACGAGGTCGTACCTTTGATACAACAACCAGTGCTGGGACCTCCACAGCAAGCCATTTCCACAGCGCTGCACACCAAATCCAGGATACCCTCAGAAACCGGCAAAGACTACCACTCACGTTTTACTACTGCCTAGTACTGAATCCTACCTGACTTCTTGACACGACTCAAACTTGCCAAAGTCACTAAATCAACGTCAACTACAATAATCAAGCCACATATCTGCACGAGGGTGCTGGCAAAAGTCCTGCTGCACGGCGGCGGGCGAAGCCCGCCGCCGTGCAGCCCAATACGTGCCTCAAAAACCTGATTTTTTGGACTTTTTTGGACAGCGTGCAACAAAAAAATCTTTCCTTGCAAGGGCACATTTTCGGCCATAACTCTTGAACGGCCTGTCAGATCGGGACACAATTTTCAGAGAATTTGCAGCTATTCATGCTCTTTCAACTGACGGAGCACTCAATATCAGGGCTCACACAGTCGGTATGCAGGATCGACAAAAGCGTCGTGCGAGGGCGGGTTTGGTGCACGTGAGTCGCGTGACCCCACGAGAGCACAGATTGTGTACATCCTACGCATCCCAACAGAAGAAAGAAGAGAAAGAACCTTGGCTTGAGTAGCCTGTTCTTGTCTTGTAAAGCCGATGTTCGCGATATTTTGGTCGGACCTGTCCTTTCCTCGCTTCTCTTGGCATGCAGTGTCACACCATTCTCGTTTCCGTTCGTCTCGATCTTGTGCTTTTACGATCGTGCATACTCGAGTGGAAATAGTTTGCTTTATTATTTTCACTGGGAATTGCACTGCAACACTGAACAGTTACTGCCAGCCCTCGGCAACGACTTGCCTTTCACTGTGCCTTGTAGAATTGGTCCACCGAAGGAGAAGGCGAAAGGCAACCTGTGCTAGTCCCAGGAAATTCATGTCATGTAGCCGCTGTTCGACCAAATGCTGATGCTTCAATGAGCGATCGCGATGTTCCACAGGTAAGAAGACAAACAAACGAGTCAGAGCTCGCCAGGCAGGGAACGCCGAGAACATACAACACGGAGCTGCTGATCGGATGGAGGCGAACGGGACCAGCAAATCCGCCAGGCGTTAGTTGAGGGCCACTAAAGGCCAGGTTTCCAGAGGTACCAGTTCCTCCATGATGGCGAAATGCGCTGCCACAAGAACTCCAGCGAGAACGAAAGCACAGCAGCCAACTCCGCGGGCGAACTGAGGAGAGAACATCTGAAAATCTGTGCGCAATGATTTTCTGTTGGACGGCGCGCGTTGCTGTTCCGCTGCATGCATGCGTTTTTCTTGTTGTTTGATCTGGTGCTGCTTTTGCACTTTTGGCGTTCTGCGCGCTGAGTGGCACTCACTCAAAAATGTCCACTACATCTCATTCTTGGCGGATTTTGATCATCTATGGCTTATTTTTTTCAGCGTGGAATTCTTCAGACATTTACCGATCACTTTTCCGATTGCTGTGCCGAAATCGAAGCCAAAACGACCAGACTTTGGCTAATCCGTGCCGGAAAACTGGAGGGAAAATGGTGAAACGCTGCGGTAGATCACTGAGTTTGGGGGTTTTGAATCAGCACAGCGAATCCCAGCTTCGTGGACATCAGCCTCAGGGCCGATGTAGTGGACAAGATCAAAGATTTGAGAATAGAGGAGAATAGAGGCCTGTGATTGGTCAGTTGTCATCACGTGACATCCGCGCAAAGCCGTGCGCGACTCCACGCTTTTGTATTGGACTGTGAGCCCTGAATATGAATTTACAAATTCGATTTTTCAGCGAATTTTTGGGTAGTCTGCCACCTTAAGTATTTCATCCTATTGTGTTTTGCACAATCAAGAGGAGGGGGATGGTGTAACCATTACACCTTCTTCTGCCTTCCTATCACTGCACACGTATGTGCCCGCCTATCGCTGGACAGCTTGTGCGCGCCTATCACTGCACAGCTTGTGTGCGCCTATCACTGCACAGATTGTGCGCGCCTATCACTGCACAGCTTGTGCGCGCCTATCACTGCACAGATTGTGCGCGCCTATTACTGCACAGCTTGTGCACGCCTATCACTGCACAGCTTGTGCGCGCCTACCACTGCACAGCTTGTGCGCGCCTATCACTTCACAGCTTGTGCGCGCTTATCACTGCACAGCTTGTGCGCGCTTATCACTGCATAGCTTATGCGCACCTATCACTGCACAACTTATGCGCCCCTCTAGCTCTTCACAGCTTGTTCGCGCCTATCACTGCACAGATTGCGCGCGCCCCATCTCGCAACAATCCCTGCTGATATATAGGCCAGAGCGTTTTTAGACAACATTCACTTGTTTCATGTCCTTTACAGTTCAGATTTTCAAATTGGCGTTTGTCCTTTCAGTGTAAAGTCAGACCTATTTGTTTGCCAAACAGCTTTGATCCGTTCTAGTGTCTAAGAGAAAGTGTTCGATTTTCAGATTTTAATCGGAGATGGCAGCTATACTGAAGTTGGTGAGTAACGACGGCGAGGTATTCGACGTGGAGGTCAAGGTCGCCTGCCAATCAAAAGTACTCAAGGCCATGTTACAGGACACGGGCGATATCGCCGATGATGATGAGCCTGTGCCGTTGCCCCCTGTAAACGGCGCGACTTTGCGAAAGGTGATAGAATGGTGCACGCACTACCAGAACGAAAATTTAGTGGAAGGGGAAGATCTCCTAGACGAGAATGAAAGAATTAACATTGATAGCTGGGATGAAGAATTTTTGAAAGTAGACCAAGGAATCCTCGTTGAGCTCATGAATGCGGCGAATTACTTGGACATAAAGGTGAGACAATTGGTAGATGCTGTATGTCGTTTCGTATACTAGTATGCTGAATTGTGATTCTTGTCCAGCGAGTACTTTGATACAATGTATTGTGTTTTTGGGTCCTGTTTGCAGCCGGCTGAGTGTTGTTGCCATGGATAGGCACTTGTAGTTTCATTTTCAAATCAGGTTTGTGATAGGGGATACTCTTTCTCTCTGTCTCTCTTTCTTTCACTCTTTGTCTTCCTCTATCCTTTTAGTGTTTCATCTCTCCGACTATCAATCTCATTATCTCTCTCGATCCGTCTCTCTTTATTCTCAATCTCTCTCTCCGTCCCTCTCTCTTTCTCTCTCTCTCTCTCTCTCTCTCTCTCTCTCTTTCCCTCACTCTCTTTATTTCTGTCCACTGTAGGGACTTTTGGATGCCGCTTGCAAGACTGTCGCTAATATGATCAAAGGCAAGACTACCGAGGAGATCCGGAAGACATTCAACATGGTGGGCGACTTCTCTTCCGACGAAGAGGAGGAGATCCGCAAGGAGAACGCATGGTTGCAAGACAAATAGCTAATATGATCAAAGGCAAGACTACCGAGGAGATCCGGAAGACATTCAACATGGTGGGCGACTTCTCTTCCGACGAAGAGGAGGAGATCCGCAAGGAGAAGGCATGGTTGCAAGACAAATAGGCATGCAGCCCTCGTTCCTGACACGAGTTTTCGACGTCCTGTCAGACAAGCGGAAGTGAATGGGCTCTTTTGCAGTAGGATGGCCTGTTTCCGGTCAGAGATTTCTTTTGTTGGATGTACTCCGCAAACATATGTCAGCAAACATGGTCATCGATCAGTGGACAATGTGCTCATTACGCTCGAGTAGCGCTTTTGGTAGGGGCATGTGCCGAAAGGCTTGTATTTGGTTGTTGTATCGTGGAGTCCAGTGTCTGATGTCATCTCTTCCAAGTGTACGTTTGGGTATGGCGTGATGTGTGACGTTTATGGTGTGTGGTGCATGCAACAGTACGCGTTGTCCGAGCGTGAGAATCTGCTTCCGTCTTGTGTTAGATTGACTGTCAAGTGAATGCTGTACATGCTCAGTGCTAGTTTGAACTGGTAGTGAGAATCATGTGTGATTTGTTCGTGGCCTGGTTGTCTTGGTCTAGGTCATGTGTTCTGTACGTATTGCTCCTTGATTGGTCGTCTAGATTATAAGGCTCTATATTACTGCTTGTTCTTTGTTGTTTCTTCGTGTCTTTTTCCGTTGGCTTTTCATCAAGTCTTGTTTTCGTCTTTCTCCTCCTGCTCTCTTTCCGTTTGCATGAGAAGTCAGAAACTATACCAAGTTGTTTGAGTTGTTATGTGACAGGGGCCGGGTGGAAAAGGCAATACTACTTCAGTGATCATCGTATTTAGGAAGAAATTTTGTTCCTGGAGTGTGTAGTAGAGTGGCATCTACAGTCGCGCTAGGTGTAATCCGACATAAACGCAAAGCTAACGCCCTCGACCAGTTTCGAGTACATCCCTCTATCTGTACATGATGTGTATTGTTCACGTCCAGCCTCATTAGTGCCACTTCTAGGTCGTCAAGGGCTTTGCTCAGGGCGCCACATAACTTCATAAGCAACTTAGGGACGGATTGTACCTAGCGCAACTGTAGTTAGGCCTCCACCACACTAGGTACAAAACTGCGTTCAGCGTGTCACCAAGTAAACGGGCGTGAAATGGATGCTCAAGAAATGTCTTGTAAAACGCTCTCGATGTTTTCTGAGAATTAATAAATTTGAAAATTGTCGCGTCACCACGTTGCAACATAGCCAATTTCCTTACCCACGACGGAAAGCGCCTCCTCCAGCTACACTACCAGGCACAGCTCCAGACAGTCAGTATGCCAAACAGCGCAGTACCTTTTTTTATAATAAACTGTCAGAGGCAACCCTTGTCACTCCAAACAGCAAGTACTTCCTTCCCCGAGTGACTCGAATTTAACTAGCTGCAAAGTTCTGGGAAATTGCAAAATAATAGTGAACAAATCTCGATTTGTGTGATCGAAGCATTTTTGCGTGCCGTGCGTCGGCTAGGCACCGGCGGATAATGTCGGCAGAAAAATAGGCAGAATTCGGTAAATTTTCTGGTAAGTTTCATGCATGTTTGGTATGTGGATAAAGAAATGGAGCAGAATTTGAGGAATTGCCCGCCATAAGGTTGGTATGGTTCTGCCAATTTCACTGCTTTTCGAGCAGAATCTGCCACCTTTTCGAGCATTATCCGCCGGTCCCTAGCACCGGCCACCGCGTGACATAGCAGATAGAGGGATTTCATTGAGTTGATCAACAATTCCATTTGCTGGTGCCAGTTTTTTACTTTTTGCAAAAGTTGCCATCCCCTGCTTCAGAAAATGGGTCATTGCCTGCCCTGACCTGGGTTTAATACGGTCCTTCAGAACATAGATCACGATCATAACGTTTCTAACGGTCATAGCTATTATAGTTCAGGAGTTCGCAAATGTCACTGACATGCAAACTTGCTTCGTGGTACATGTACGTGTAGCTATGAGTTTCGTTAGGATTCACACTTTAAAGTCACAGGCTTTGTCTTCACCTTCTTTTGCACCTGCTGATTGAGTTCTTCGCATCCAAATGTTATAAACTAAACGGTATCACCGTGAGGGTCAACGGGTTATAGTGCTTATGAGGTCGTTGGAAGGCTTCAAGCAAGTGCGACTTGGAGTCAGAGTTTTCTAATAGAGTTCTTTTGCTAAAGTTGTGAGCTGGTTCTGTTACCGTTCCACCTTCTTCTGCCTTCCTATCACTGCACACCTATGTACGTGCCTATCACTGCAGAGCTTGTGCGCGCCTATCAGTTGCAAACCTTGTGCAACTTCTAGCACCTACTGTTCACGGCTAACCTTGGCACCTGTTATTCTACTTACTGTTTAAAACTGCTTCTTTCCTTATAAGGCGACGATTATTCCTCAGCTGACTAAGTGAGACGTTTACATTAATAGCAAGAGGATGGTTTTCGATGGTTATCTTCAGTTTGCACTGGTTCCTTCTGACGCCTGCTGTCTTGTCGTTCCTGTTACTCAGTTTACTGGTTTTCGCCGCTAATCAGCAGCTGCGGCGAGTTACTAGGCTATTAGCCAACAGTCCAACGCTAACAACCTGTGACTCCTTGGAAGGGTATCGGAGCTGCGGTCAACCATAATCGGCCTACCTCGAGACGTCAGCCTCGTACGAAGGAGCCTCAAGTGTTCGGTGGCAAGGCAAACTGGTTCAAGGAGTGGTCTTTCGCTATCGAGTTGGCTCTCAACTAGTCTCAAGTCCCTGGAATTAGGCAGTTCGGATAGAGAAGCGAACTATGCCGCTAGTTTCCTTGTAGGCAACGCTCGCCTTTGGCTCATCTCTTCCCTGGAAGCTGAAACCTTTCCTGACTGGCCGTCACTAAGAGATGCGGTTGCTAAGGTATACGATCCAAGCCTTCAGGTTACTGAGTTGGACAAGCACTTAAGAGCGCTGCTGTTCACCAACGAGCTGTACGGCGATGTCCGAGACCAGGTACTTCGTGACCATCTGAAAAGCTTGTCGGCGGCCATACAGTCAGCTCAAACTGCGTCGCTGTTAGTTCCGTACTCGACGCCATGAGTCACCCTGTTACTCAGTTACCCCGTTACCCAGTCACCCAGTTACCCAGTCACCCCGTTACCCAGTTTGCGCAGTTACATAGTTGCCCAGTTGCCCAGTTACCCAGTTGCTCAGTTGCCCAGTTACCCAGTCACCCAGTTAGCCAGTCAACCAGGCGCGCGTCACCTAATTACCCAGTTACCCAGTCACCCAGTCACCCAGTTACCCAGTCACCCAGTTTTTTTCCAAAGCACGAAAAAGGCCAAAAACTAAACCAAGAACATGTGCAATAACATGTTATTTAAAAGAAAGACAGGACAAGTGAATAATAATATTATTAGTCAGTCCATTGTTCATGATGGTCTCCGACGGTTACGTCGGCAAGCGAGCCTCCCCCACTGCCAAAGCAGCGTGGGCTCCGCAGGAGGGTGCAGATTTCAAATTAAAATTTTTACGCCTACAACCGCGAATGCAAATGATACAGGATTTCAGAAGGCTGAAGGAAATCCTGCATCTAACAAATGTCATAACATGAGAGTAGTGCTCACCCCTCTGCTCAGCCAACAGATGAGCAATGCGTTTATACAGTGCTGTTGACGCTGGACCCATTCCGCCACTGGCTTACATGACCGCCGGAACAAAGGATGCTTGCTCAACCCAGTTACCCAGTCACCCAGCTACCCAGTCACCCTGTCATGGAGTTACCCAGTCAACCAGTCACGGAGTCACCCAGTCAGTTAATGGGTCTCATCTCACCCAGTCAGGTAATGACAATGCGTATCGCCCTAACCTACCGACAACCTTACCCTGCCACCCTGTGTTCAATGTGACCGCGCTGAAACCATACGAAGTGAACGCAATTCCTGGTCGCCGCCAGCCGCCTCCGCCGCCTACAACCGATTTGGACGGCAACACAGGGTACATTATGTGGGAAATCTTGGATCACCGAGTATGCAAAGGCACACCCGAGTTTTGGTTAAGTGGGTTATGATGAGACAACCTGGGAGCCAGAGAATTTTCTCAAGGACGAGTCCGGAAGAAACATTGTTCCACTTGTGTGCTTAAGTATTTCATTCTATTGTGTTTTGCACAATCGAGAGGAGGGGAATGGTGTAACCATTACACCTTCTTCTGCCTTCCTATCACTGCACACCTATGTACCCGCCTATCATAGCAGCTTGTGCGCGCCTATCCCTGCACAGCTTGTGCGCGCCGATCACTGCACTGCACAGCTTGTGCGCGCCTATCACTGCACTGCACAGCTTGTGCGCGCCTATCACTGCACAGCTTGTGCGCGCCGATCACTGCATAGCTTGTACGCGCCTATCACTGCACTTTACAGCTTGTAAGTTGTACGCTCCTATCACTGCACAGCTTGTGCGCGCCTATCACTGCACAGCTTGTGCGCGCCTATCACTGCACAGCTTGTGCGCGCCTATCACTGCACAGCTTGTGCGCGCCTATCACTGCACAGCTTGTGCGCGCCTATCAGTTGCACACCTTTTAGCTTATACAATTACTTCTAGCATGTACTGTTCACGGCTAACCATGGCAAGTGTTATTCTACTTACTGTATAAAACTGCTTCTTCGTTATTTGAGTATTAAAGAGACGACTATTCCTCAGCTGACTAAGTGAGACGTTTACAGGTTGTTTTTGTGATTTTGGTGTGTGCCGAGGCAGCAGCACGCCTCTACAGAACAATTATGCTAGATATTTGAATCATCAGTCATGTTCTATGTTCCAGAGGTGATATGCAAACAGGTTTTGACAAAAGATACAATTTGTGACACATCCCCAGTGGGGCATGCTCGCATGAAATGAGTCATATCGTATTGAATAATGTGCTGATCCGTCTAATGGTCTCTTTTCCAAGATTCCACACCTATCAATAAGGTTCTGCAAGTAACTGGTTTCCACCAAATGTCCTTCGGAGGTCGATTTTTGAACACCAAATTAGAAATTTGAATAGTTTGCAGGCAACTTGCCTACAATCAAGAGAGCACTGCATTTCACACAAAAGCATTAGAAGTATCGCTTCCACGTTTCGGGCTTCATCACCATCATCAGGA